GGACGTCTGGAAGCCGAAGTGGGGTGGGGCTTGAAGCATCTTAAAGGAACAGTAACAAAATCAGCTGCTTTGAGACACACAGCAGAAAAGTGGTGAAAGAGGAGCTGGTTAAGTTAGAATAAGGAGGAATTCAGACCAAAGCTTTGTAGTTCCACATTATAAAGACGCCAACTGAAGGATTTCAATGTGAAAAAGAAGGATTTAAAAGCAGGATATGTCTACTTTAAAGCCWTGAACTCCTCCCTCTCCAGATTTGAATTCATAAAACTCCACAGATGGAAAAACAAAACATCTTCAGCAACAGTTTTTTTAATTGAACCTTGCTTAAAGAAGAAAGAGATGAAGTCAGAAGAGAAACCTGACGGAGTCTTCCAGAGATCTTGAGCCTTTCAGTAGGACAGATATCCTAAACACCCTGTTGAAGTTTGAGGAAAACTACTCAAAGGTCCTGGAATGGTCCGGTCAAAACCCAGACCTCAGTCCATGTGATAATCTATGGTTCGATTCAGAGATTGTTGGAAGGATTTACAGATGTTTGGTCATGAAGAACAAAGTAAGGCTCCATGTGTTGGATGGAGCAAGATCACAGAGACAGACCTGAAGAGACCTGATGTTGGACCTGCTGCAGAAGACATACTGTAAATGCACCATTATTAGTTTTATACCTTTTACATTATTTTAAACAAGTTATTTTTTCTTTTAAATTCATTAGCACTGAGTATTTTATGTAGAAATATTGCATTTAATTAAATAATATTCATATTAAATTCAAGGTCGTGATGCAACAAATATGAAGGACATTTGACCCATTTCAGTGACTTTTTCTGTCTGGCTTACTAAGAGTGCTGTGTAGTTAACATGGTAACAGTATGCTGGCTGCAGTTTGAACATTTTGCTTGCTTTATTTTTTTCACCACATTTTAGAACATAAAGGAAGTCCTGAGTACCTGAAGAAAGTGGATCTTTGGTTTGTTTTTAAGCAGCAGCTGCCTAAAAATAGTCCTTCAGAAAGAGTTGGTTCTTTATTATTTCAGATGTTCAAGKAGCCACAAACACTGCGGGAAAGAATTGATTTGAAAAGCAGTTTAGTTGTGATGCATTGGCATATTGATTCCTCTGTGACGTCAGGCGGCTTCGTGCTGATTACAGCAGGCTGATCTGATACTGGAGTCCTACCTTAGGGTTTCATACAAAGTCCATGAAAATGTTTTCAGTCGCAGTTCAGGATTACATGAAAAAGAGATGAAAACTTAAACAAACTGTCAAACCTCTGAGCACCCAGCAGCTGCTGATCGTTACCTCGGGGTGGGGTGGGGGGTTGGGGTGACTGCAGCTGACTTTCATTTAAGTTGCTTCTTCAGGCTGCATGAAGATAAACTGTACAAAAGGTCAAAGGTCAAATGTGAGAGCAGGTTATGGATCACTCTGCTTCACTGTTTGTATAATCAGTTGACCTCTAGCCTTCGCCTTCGAGAATTTCAAATATTTATGTTTGCTTTTGAGTTTTGAGTCCTGCTCGGCTCAGCATACGTGTCAGCTGGCGTGTAGAGGAGGTGAGTTCATCCACAGCGAAGAAGATGAGTTTATTCATTAGAGCAGCTGATTAGATCAGTGGTTCCCAACCTTTTTAGACTTGTGTACTCCTGAGCCATTTTGTCATACCACTAGCACCCCTCAGTCACATTTAATGATGATTCTCCAAAAATATAATATAAAACAGATGATTATTAAMTGAAAATTATTTATTTCACCCCTAGAACATTTAGTTCTCAGGCATTTTATTCTTTTCAACTCAAATTAAACAAAGATAAAACCACTGCCTTGAAAGTGAATAATTAAATAAATAAACCAGGTAACGGCAGGTGAAGGAAGCGGCTGCATCCAAAATACATCAAATACCCCGAATGAGCAAATTTTGTGAAATTTTGCGTTTTACACAGGATTCCATTTTGTGTCAATTTCATAATTCCGTTTACTTTTTCCACATTGCAGAAATCATAGGGCCCTACATATCTCAGTCCTATTTTTTTTTTTTTTTGCAGACCTGGGAAATTTTTCCACATACCCGCTGTAATATGCTCGCGTACCCCAATGGGTACATAACCCTKGTTGGGAATCACTTGATTAGAGCATACTGATGCAAAGAGAACTACTTTCTGTCTGTTTGGATGCTTTCAGCCCATATGTTCCAGGCATGTGAAGAACTTCTTTTACTCTCTTTTTATTACAGTTCTGTGCATTATTTTAAATATTTTTAATATATTCTAATCGTATTTTGTTGGATGATGTACTGAGAAGGTTGAGAAAAGAACTGCAGGTCTCATTCTTCTTAAAGTAAACCACTTAACCCCTTAAAACCATTAATCATCCTTTAACGTCACTTCTCACAGCCCCGCCTCTGTCCAGCAGCTCACAGGAACAAGAGTCGAAATCACGTGAGTTGCACATATATATCAATGAACATTTCTAAATTAGTTCACGAGAAACTAAAAACAAATTGCAATTTTCAGAAGCAGATTAAATGAGAACATGGCTTATTCCTCCCTCTAGTGGCCACTTACACACATTACATTTCATTCATTCATCTGTAATAACTGCAGTACCTGCMGCAGGGATGGGCCAATTAATGATGGAACGTGCCACAATTGTTTGCTTCTTTTTGTTTGTTTGTTTTTGGAGATTGTTCAAGGTTAAGTTTGTTGTGTTTGAATTTTTTTTCAAACTAGGGCAGATATGATATTTTTTTCTTCACTCTGCACTCTTCATTTAGAAATTTTCTTTTTTTCTTTTATTATTGCATTTGTAGTTCGTGCTTTTGTGTGAAATTATTTTTAAATTAAAAATAGCTAAATAAAAATAGCAGTTGTTCTCTTGTTTAATAAATATGAATACAAAACATTTGAAGCAAACAAAAAATAAACTCTTACTTTAGTGAGCTGAAGAGGACACTGTGAGTGCAGATCTGTGTGATTTACTTGTGACTTCAGTAAACCTCACACACGTATTTAGCTTTGTGCAGCGTATTGTAGTGACGACCTTTTCAAATCCTTGATGCCTTGAAATTCTGTGAACAGATATTCTACCCCCGCCCCTTGAAGTAAAAGCCTGTTATTATTATTATTGCTGTTGTTGCTGTTGTTGTTGTTGTTGTTGCTGTTGTTTTTGTTGTTGCTGTTGTTTTATTCATTGATTTGTTTGTGGGGTGACTCATTGGCGAACAGACAAAGGTTACCCATGGACCAGATGTGGCTGCCAGCTGCTTATCTCTGACCTGGAGAAAACCCACAGGTGCACAAAGAGAACATCAGACATCAACACCACACAGAAAGGTTTCAGGCTGGATTCTGATCCTGCATCAGAGGCAACAGCTCTACCAACTGCACCAACGTGTGACCCTCATATGTACTCCTTTTGTGTATGTA